GAAAATTTGAACTAATTGTTCATTAATTATTTGTGGATAATCCACATTGTATGTGGAAACCCATTGTAATTTTGAAACTCCGAATAAGATTATTATTATCTTACATGATTTTCTGCAATCTTTCAATGAGTTTCCTTTTCAAAGTTGGGTTTATATTCAATCTAGCTAATATCTGGTCAGATTCAGACATGAAATAGATCTGTAAAAATTTAGGAATGTCTTCTGGATCAGGAAGTAAACTGCCAATCAAATGATAAACTTGATACTAGATTTTAAATGTAGTCACGAAATTCCCTCCTCTTATTTCTTTGGCTTCAAATGATGTCATTTGAAATAATGTGTTGTACTGTCTAGAATTGTCTAAGAAATGTATAGAAAGTGAATCTGTTCCTAAAATCAAATTTTTAATGAAATCAGGACATTCCTCAAGTTGTTCAAGAACAATTTTCCCTGCAGCACAGCAAAGTCCAGGAGTTTCATCATCCCATTTTTTGCCAAAACAATGATCAGATATTTTGATCATTTTACCTCTTTCATATCCAAATAGTCATTTTCAGGATGATAATCAAAAGCTGATTTGAAACCAAAAAATTCCTCGCTATACACATTCGATTCTGAGCCAAACGAATTCGTTGCTCTTCCAGTCTTTGAGACTGCTCTGCTGTAGATTCACGTTGTCTTCAATTATGAACAATTATAGCTCTAGAACTTTTTCTTCCTATTCATGCTCTCTCAGCTCTCAGCATTATTTATCAATCAATCTCAAAAATATTCCCTTGAGATAAATCCAATAACTATTTTGAATATTTCATACAATTACCTGCAGAAGTTAATGGTAACAATTCAAAAACCCACCATAAGTTCACATACTGCCATCTAGTGTGATGACGTCACCTTTTTAACTCCTTGAAGATTTTGCTAATTAAAATGTCAGTTCTTCAAATATAATAGTAAATGTCAATAATAGACTTTTCTTATAGTCAGAAAGTACTAATTCATGTGTAGCCATCTAGTGAAGGGAGAGAGAAATAGAGAGACAAAAATCCATTGCAGTTTTATTTAGTTAATAAAAAATCTGTAGGTTTGATTAGTGATAAACATTCCAGGGATCATAAAGATGCTACAGTTAAAAATTGGTAACGATTGGTTCAGTAGTTTTCACGGTTATTGGTGACAAATGAAAAATACGTTGCCTCTTTATATAGTAAGTGTATATATATATATAAACACTATATAACAGTTTTGTTTATAAACTATAAGGGGTGTTCAATAAAGAACCAGCCAAATGCAATAGCATGAAATAGAAACAATTTATTTCAACAAGAATTGCCCTGATTGTTAAGGCACTTATCCCATTGTGGCACCAGCTGAGTTACACACTGTTAGAAGACAGTAGCAGGACACTGGTGGAGCCAACGTCAAAAAGCATCTTTTTTTCTTTCTTTGCACTTCAGTGTCTGAAGAAAATCATCTGCCTTTAAGTGCCCTTTTGAGTTCCCCAAAAAACGTGACAGGTCAGGACTATAGGGAGGGTGCTTGACTAACTCCCAACGAAACTGCTGTAGCAGGTCCTTTGTCATGTTGGTTGTGTGAGGATGTGCAGTATTATGCAGCAAGATGACCCAATTCTTCAGTTTTCTTGGATGCCTGCATTGAATTTAAACTGAACAAGCAGCAACACCTAATGGTCAAAAAATAGGGTGATCATCATCTTCCCTGCTGATAGTCGCGCACTCTTGCTCCTTTTGGGTGGAGGTGAATGCGGGTGTTTCCACTGAATGCCAGCAGGCCTCAGCTTCAGATCGTAACAGAAACAGAATGTCTCACCTCCCATCACAATGTGAAGAAGAAAACCATTACCATGCAAAGTAAAATGCATCTGATGTTCCAATGACAAGCTCATCTAGTTGCTGGTCTGATCTTTAGTGGTTGAATGTGACACCCATTGTGCACACACCTTTCTGAAATGCAACATTTTGTGCACAACACTGTACCAACACTCAGATCTATTGCAGTTGCAATGTCATGGACCATCATCCGTCTGCACCATTTGCACATTCTGCGGTGAGACTGATGCTGCAGACATACTGGTCATTGGTCATCCTTAAAGCTTGAATGACCTTCCCGAAATTTTTTGGCTCACATCTTCACCTGGGCAAGGCTGGCTTAGAACGTACGGACCATACACATGATGCATTTGTTGATGAATTACAGTGGGTCCGCAACCTTCTGCAACAAGGAACCTGATTACTCTACATTGTTCAACTTTGGAGGATTCCATCTTCCAACAAAATCACTCAAACAAATGACTGAGGGTGTTTGCCTTATATGGGGATGTCACTTTGGTGCACTGCACATTCACATGCAAATTTTCCACTTAGAGCTGTGCTCATGGTTATTTATTGAACACCCTTTATAAATAAATTAAAAGCCTACCTAGTCAAGAAGTGCTTATTTTAGGAAACCAAAGTAAATATTTTATTACAACTGAAATAAGAATCTCTCTTTACTAATTATCATGTTGCTAAGTTCTCATTCAAGTTTAAAAATTTACCTGTTACAGTGGAATTTACTACATAATCTTTAGGTGCTTGAGAAAGACCAATATATCCAGCCTACAATAAGTAACATAAAATTTAATTATTTAATCAAAAACAAAAAATAACCAATTGTATAATTTAATCTATAATACTATGACAAATCTTACAACTGTACAATTAACAATGAAATTAATCTGTAGTTTCTTTTTAATGATACAATTTATTGAAGACTAATATAGCTATAATCATTACATATTATCTAACTATAAACAAACTAGAATGAATTTCATTTAATACTATTTTGTTAAGTAAATACATATACAAAAATTAAGTTATTTCACATATATTTTTATTGTATTATAATGGTTATCATGTAATTCAAATTTTCAACAAAACAGCACAAACATTTGAATTTTGTTAGATAATGTAGAATAATAATTTTTTAAATTTGGCATTAAAATTTTTAGGTTTCTTTTTATAGATGTGGACAAATAAAAAGTAAATTATAGACTGATATCATAACATGTAAAGATTTTATATGCACAAAAATTTGATGATAGTATAAAACTATCATTTAATATAATAAATGGATACACACAGATTGTTATGAATTAATAATATATAAAATAATAGGCCTGTTTTGCAATCATGTCCATAATATGTATATGATACAGTGTGTATTAAATTCCTTTTATATTCCAATGTAAATTGTATTTGTTTTCAAAACAGTTTAATACTTAATGATATTTAGCCATCGCTGTGTGTTAATAAAAATTATTTTAAATTAGTGACATTGATTGGATATGTGCAAGAGAGATATTTAGGAAAAAACTTATGTAATTAAAACTTTTAATTAAAAAATTTACTTTAAAAAATTAAGAAAGCAAATTTTAAAAGATAAAGTAGAATTGCACTGTAACATAACTGGACGTATTCCATCATCATCATCTGAATAGGAATCATTTTTGTCTTGAACAACTATAATTATGAAACTAATTAATAAATACATAACTATTCTCAAAATACATACAGATTTCAACAAACTTTTAAATCAAAATATGCTGTAAATACTTTAATCAATTAAATATTCAAAGTGACAGAGAAATAATGGCAGTGCTTCTGATTTGCTAAAGTGCAATGTTAGACTAGCACGATTGGTAAAATATAGATCATATGTCCTAGATAAGTGCACAATTACAATAAGAAAAACATTACACAAAAAAATTTGTAACAGTTCAAATTTGTAATATCAAATATCTGACAAAAGCAAGCAATATTAGTTCAAAATAGATAATGTAAAATTGTGAGATGCTGCTGACCTCAGTTGCTACTATGAGAAAAGAGTTGCATTAGAATTCGAGTATCACTTTTCTAAAAACAACAATGACAACTGGACACTCATACACAATATATATATTCCAGTGTTAACATGACTAATTGTCACGTAAATGACTTAGAATCATTCAGGTCTGGTCATCCAAGTGATTGGCTACACTGGAGCCAAAGGTAGAGAATCAGGAAGTTCAGGAAGGAGAGCCTGAAGTTCCTAATGATGTGTGCAAATAGAGTTCACAAAGATCTATGAAAGTGAGTGGGAGCTCCAATGGATTATAAATAGTAGTAGTGAAGGCTCTTTTAACAGTTTGGACAAGAGGCTTGACATTTAAGTTTCTGACAAAGAATGGGAAAGAAAGTGCCTGGTGGTAATGCACAAAACCAAACAAAAAAGGATTTAGTGAGAGATAAATCAACCACAAAACAAACCACTAAACAATAATTGTAAGATAAGGTACAATTTATAATTCACTCTCTTGTTTCACAAACTGGTAATTGAGTAACCAAATGTATAAATCTTAGCTTCAATAAATGGAGCTATTTTTTCTTGTAACCTGTTAAGCATTGACACTTTCCATCTGGATCCAATCTGGCAAAAAATCTTCCAAAAACACATGTCAGAAATTAAAATGAGGAATCATAGACTGACCACTGTTCAAGCCAAGGACACTTTGTCATCACTGTGATAGACAACAGCAGCCTCAAAAAAGTACTGTTGGAAATTCATCTAATTTTTAAAAGTCATGATTTCTTCCAATAAAAAATAATCATCATTATTCCTTTAGAAATTTATATGTAACAAAACATTATAATTCACCAACAAATTCTTCAATAAACAACCAAGATTTTAAATTATTCCTTAAAATAAAAACTGATGTGATAAATGAAACTGAATCACTAGCTGAATCATTACCCAATTGTATAAATTAGATTAGTTTTTTAAAATGACTGAAACAATAAACAAAATTTAAATTATGAATATGTAACAAATTATTTCTATAATATATAAAACTTACTTCTGGTTTATATTTAAAAGCACTATCACCAAAATTAAATTCCATTTCTGCATTCTGGAAAGAGACAGAAAAATTTACTTTTGAAGTGATAAATCCATTCATTATACTTATAAACAACAACTTACTTTTAAAACAACAGCAGCAAAAAATGCACTTCTTCGTAAATTTTGTGGAATTTTAAAAGCTTCTCCAAAATCATTACCTAAAAATAAAACGGGGAAAACACAATGATATAAAATTATTTTTTAAAAATGCAGGAAAACATGAATACAACTTAATATTAAAAAAAATTCTAAGAAAAAATCTGACGTCATTTTTTTATTTAAAGCTTTAATTACATTTAAGATTGATTATCATATTCAAATCAAGGATTATTTCAGAAATGTAATACAAACACAGAATCATTGGCCTAGTTTTGCTAAACTCCTGGACATATTATTGAACACTACTTACAAGGACAAGATCAGACATTTGGGTCTTTGATTCAAACTGAACTTGGTGAGTGTATAACCCTTAACACAAACAGATCTGTTAAAATAATAGAGCCCACTTCTCAAGCATTTCCAAAAAACAAGACCTTGAAAAATTGAGTGTTTAGCTTAGAGGCTTTGGAAGTTTCACATTTTCTTGGAGTAGCAATAGCTGAGTGGACAAGACAGTATGTAACAATTTTTCTGGACTGACACAATTTTAATGTTCTTTTTAAATGTGTAACAAAATCATTTAATTTCTTTTTACTGTATCATTATTATTATTACTGTTATTATTCCTTAAGTTAAAGCTTATAAAACAAATTAAAGTAGAATTAAAAATACATATAATGTCATCACGAGTGAATAAGCTTTAGATGTTACTGTGCATGGACAAAAAAGACAAGTCTGTATTGAAAATATGTAGCATAGCCATGTAAGGAACCAAGTCCGAGCATTATTTTTATTTACTTTTATTTTTGCATTTTATTATATTTTTGTTTGGGGCTTATGTTTTGTTAGAACGAAGGTTTCCTCACCATTCACCTTAGAAACTTAAAAATAGAAGAGAAACCAACTCACCAACGAGAGAAAAGTGCCGTAGAAAAAAAACTCGCGCACACTTGCGCTTCCGAGCGGAAAAAAGTAAGTCCACACCAGGAAAAGGGGGGAGACCCCACAAGCACAACTTAGGGACTCGCTAAACCTTAAAAGAATAAAACATCCCGTAAATTGTCAAAAAGAATAATGTAAAAGGTTAGCGAGTATTGTTGGAAAATAGGCTGCCAGACAAATAGAGAAAGTTTATTGTTAGCGAATAAGTATGTAAATGAGGGGAGTGATCGCAGTCAGAATTGTGACGTCACCTCACAGTATAAAAACCGAACCTCAAGTGAAGATGGACGAAGTGAGCTTCTGTTAGCAACGAGCTTGGTGAGCTTCGTAGCAGTAAACGAAAGAGAGGTGTCTGATAGGATAAAAGTAGTTCCAAGGCGATTTTGAAGTTATTCGATTTGTGGATCGATGAATAGAGANAAGGCATACACACAAAATACAGAATAATAATAAATCATTACTTTTTAATTATTAGTTTATGGAACTTATTACATCTTGTTTGTTTAATTGCATTGATATTGTTTCTAATTATATTAATTACAGATAATGATAATGAATTTCACAAAAATTATATATATCTGCTTTAACACATCAATTTATTGTAGAATATTCTGCAATTCACATTAGACGTAAAAAAAACTGCAAGGCATACACACAAAATACAGAATAATAATAAATCATTACTTTTTAATTATTAGTTTATGGAACTTATTACATCTTGTTTGTTTAATTGCATTGATATTGTTTCTAATTATATTAATTACAGATAATGATAATGAATTTCACAAAAAATAATTTATATCTAACTTAATATTTCACTGCAGTGTAGGTGCTAAATAGCACCTATGGTACAGTTAAATAAAAAAAATTCAAAAAATAATTTAAAGGATTAGATAATATTTTTAGACAATGCTCTAGAACAGGAGTTCAGTGGGAGTCGTGACTGTTACCTGATGTGTTTGTGATCAGCTCTGTTTTTTATCGCTCCATCTGCCGATAAATAAATAGGCAGTCCTACTTATTTGTAGCGAGTGTTTTATATATCGTTTAATTACTGTTGTAAAGTGCTATTGAACAACATATAATTGGTTCGAATCAGTAAATTTTTAAAATTGTTATGTCCAACTTCTGCACCATGTTTTCGGTCCCCATTCTTTTTGACCTTTGTATGGTTTTTGGTGCAACAGTTGTTGTGAGCAGTTATAATATGTATCGTGACATGTTGCTCGTTATTAATTTCATAGTGTAACTTGTTTTTGTTTGTGAGTTATAGATCTTATAACAGGTGTTAGCTTTGCTGGTTCTTCCGGTTGGATCAGAATTACCCTTGAATGATCGACAGATCATCCTTAATTGTATGCTGACTCCAATTTGCAGCTTTATATCCCAACTAGCAGACCCTGCCATGTGTTGTTGTGGCTCAAAATGTATCTATTATAAATGTATAACACATCCCCCGTGGGGGGGGGGGGAATTTTTTGAAAAATTTCTTCTTAGTGTACATTCTCTTGACATACCCTATTAAAACGCAATCAAACACGCAAAAACCCGCATCTAAAATAATATAATAGAAGCCAAGTTCTTCATGGTAAGTCTTAATTCTGTCTCTCTCCCCTGCAGGGGAATATCGAAAAATCCCTTCTTAGTGTGCATTCTGTTGACGTACCCTATTAAAACGCAATCAAAAACGCAAAAACCTGCATCTAAAATAGTATAAACAGAAGCAGAGTTCTTTACTGTAAGCCTTAATCCTAACCATCTCCCTTCAGTGGGGGGAATTTCGACACGTATATTACAGTATATAAAAACACGTGTGTATTCGAATGCAGCGTTATGTCAAAATTTCGAAGGAATCGGTAGGAACAAACGAACATTACATTTTTATTTATATAGATAGATAGAAGATGATCCGCTTTAGTTCATTTTCACAGAAAAGCATAATGCCTCACAGAAAAGCAAACTTAGGGTGTCGTACTCGTAGCGCCATCTGTTGGACAAAAAAGCCTTAACCATAGATGATATCATTTAATTTATATGAATGTTTAACGGAATAATATACAGCCTATGTCCACCCTGAGGTTCCATTCTAAATATTGGTGAAAGAATTTTTGAAATCGGATGAATAGTTTCGGAGATTACCTGATGCAAACAAACTTACATACATACATACATACATACATACATACATACATACAAACATTACCTCTTTATAATATTAGTATAGATTTGTTAGTGAGATATTGCATTCTGAATTACTGTGTGAACAAAGGTCATTGTTGTCTGGACAATGTGGTTATAAACTGGTTTACTCCATTTTACCCTAATACAGTGTTACTCCTGTCAACTCTAATCTGGTTGCATTTTTGTCAGTTTTTGATTGTGATTTCGGTTTTTGTTGTACCTTTGGGTTTGTAGGATTATTTATACTTTTTGTTTATTGGTTCACTTTACTGTTGCCCACCATGTCTTCTTGCAGACTAGGCCTTCCAGAAAAGGACATTATAGCGATGATTTCCAACAGACTGGATATAATAATGAAAGCACTTCCTGCCAACATGTATTGATCTGTCCCTAAGTAACACCGAAAAACATAAGGCAAGTGACTATGGACATGTATGTGGTGGTTAATAGCCTTTACAGCATTGTCCTGACCTGAGAACACAACTTTCAACCACGTGCAGCTATGCAAATGTCACTAAAAATAGACTTACTAAAGTAAGTAATGCAACTAGCATAATAGCTGAATTGATAGCAGTGGGGAGACCTGGAAGAGAACAGCAGGAACTAATCCTGAAACCGATGGCATCTGCCAGTGGTGAGCATATGTGCCCAGAGGAGGTCATGAATGACCTCCAAGAAAAAAATTGACCCCACATCTCTAAATATAGAAGTGAGAAATGTTAGAATGTTCTCACCAACAAATAGTGGGAATGTTAAAATCAAAGTTAACACAGAAAAGGAACTTAATACAGTAGCTTAAGAGAGGCAACTGAGACATTGCCTAAAGTGAACAGAAAAGTCCAGATTTCCAAACTTAGAAAGAAGAACCCTAGATTAATCATATTAAACGTTCCCAAGGATGAGGACAGAAATGAAATGATACGAAAAATTTATGAACAAAATGCAGAATTAAAGGAAAAATTCTGTGCAGAGGCTTTCATGCTTGAAATGTCAATTACTCATGCTATAAATGCCAAACGGAAAGAGGATTTTAGACACATCACAGTGAGTGTGACCCCAGCACTATGAAACACATTGATAAACATCAAAAGAATTTGTTATGAGTGGGGAACCTTACTGGTTGATGATAACATCCCAGTTCTGAAGTGTTATGAGTGTACAAGTTTTGGGCATAAGGCAGCTGAATGTGACTCACAGGAAAGATGCAGTAAAAGACACAAATACAAAGAGTGCTCATATAAAAAGGAAGAGCCCAATTGCACCAACTGTACTAGGGTGAACAAAGCGATACAGGAGGGTAGGAAACAGTACAGTGCATAATGCAAATGCTGCCTTGTGCCGTTCTGCAAAATTATAAAAAATTGATGGTAAAGCCGATGATCTATGAATAACATTGACATATGAATAAAGCCGATGATCTATGAATAACTATGATGTCATTTTCACTGCCCCCTCACCACAAAGACCAACTCTAACTGTACAAATATACACATCAATCAAAACCTGACATCTTAAGCAAATATACCTACAACTGCCGTAAACGATCGGGCTAAATTTTGGATATATGATTATAGATTAGAAATGAATTTGGCACTAGAGTGAAGCATTAGACACCATCTCTTATTAAAATTAATAATTATAATATTTGATTAATTAATTTAGATTAAACGGGAAGAAAAGAATCAGCCCGAAGTGGGATTCTTTTCTTCCAGTTTAATTCCCGCTTACCATGCAAACGTGCTGCCAGTTACGCTACCCAAACCTTCAATCCGATCTTCTCCTCCAGCATATATAAGTTAAGATATAACCATTGACATTATTACGGTGCCGACTGGGGACACAATTGCACCCTCAGCCAGAAACATCCACTCAAGGCACTCAGTTGGCCATCGCAACCCTGGCAAGGTATAGATATATAAATATACACATCAATCGAAACCTAATGTGTATATTTATATATCTATACCTTGCCCACACTGACCTACACCTGCAGGAAATTTCTAACATGAAAATAAACCTTTGAATAATCTGCATCTTTGAAGTGACTAATGAAGCATTTCCAAATATGCAGTTTAGAAGATACCATCTCAAATATTAAAACATTATTTTCTCTGTTTCATTTTCAATAGCAGTTCATTATAGAAGTAATTATAAAATAAATCAAATGGAAAAACAGAATACAGGAGTACTGAGAGGAAACCTCCCAAATTTTGTAAGTGTTGAATACACAAATGATATGCCAAACAAAAATTTTTAAATTAATATAATTTTTTCAATTAATATACTGTATTTATTCGCTTATAAGATGAGGTTTTTATTCATTTATCACAGCTTCAAATTCCTAGGTTGTCCTATATGCGCAGGCAAAAGATTCTTTGCGTTTTTGCAAGTAATTTTTGTGAACCATCTATTTGCATTTTTTACTGGATGCTTACCATCTCGTATTTAAAAACGTAAGTATTTTATCTGGGTCGTTTGAATCATTCTTGTATATTGTCAGGAGTAAAGATTATAGCAATAGGAAAAGCAAAGGTTTTGAATTCAATTCCAGATTGAAATTCCAAAATCACACAGGAGCACAATATAGGTTCCCGATTGTCCAGCTTTACATGAACAAATTATGTTGTCAATTTTACAAGATTTTTCCTTAAAGTTTAAAATGCCAGTAATTTTTGCAGGACAATGTGTGCATTTACGTTCATTTGATATTTTACTTGTAATTAAATGAAACAAAATTAGAATTGTATTAATAAATCTAATTTTCTTTATTTTGATCTTTAAAGTCACACCTTCTCCTATATGCAAGGTCGTCTTATATGCGAGTAAATATGGTAATTGGAAACAATATCAATGCAATTAAACAAACAAAATGTAATTAAGTTCCATAAACAGTAATTAAAAAAGTAATGATTTTTTTTATAAATGTGTGGTGAAATCTAAATAAAGGATAAATATTCTACAATCAAAAGAGCACTAACACTAAAAATAACTTTTTTATGACATCTAACAGATGGTTAAATATTTTTTGAGATATTACTAAAAGTTCCCATCATGAAATTGTATTAAACAGAAAACTCTATTCTGTTATACATAATGGAAACTGATGATGGGAGCTAATATCCCAAAAAACATTTAATCCAAGAATAAAACAATCTGTTACACTTCATAAAAAATTTTATTTCTTGCATTAGTGCTCTTTTGATTACATGATGAGTCAGACATTGTAAAAAAAACTATAAGTATAATTTGTTTGTAGAATATAGTACTATAATAAAGATCAAAATAAAATTAGCAATAAGAAATCATTTTCATTATTAAACTATATCCCCCATTGTGGCCTCGCCCACTCTTATATACATATAGAACTTTGAAAATTTGAACTAATTGTTCATTAATTATTTGTGGATAATCCACATTGTATGTGGAAACCCATTGTAATTTTGAAACTCCGAATAAGATTATTATTATCTTGCATGATTTTCTGCAATCTTTCAATGAGTTTCCTTTTCAAAGTTGGGTTTATATTCAATCTAGCTAATATCTGGTCAGATTCAGACATGAAATAGATCTGTAAAAATTTAGGAATGTCTTCTGGATCAGGAAGTAAACTGCCAATCAAATGATAAACTTGATACTAGATTTTAAATGTAGTCACGAAATTCCCTCCTCTTATTTCTTTGGCTTCAAATGATGTCATTTGAAATAATGTGTTGTACTGTCTAGAATTGTCTAAGAAATGTATAGAAAGTGAATCTGTTCCTAAAATCAAATTTTTAATGAAATCAGGACATTCCTCAAGTTGTTCAAGAACAATTTTCCCTGCAGCACAGCAAAGTCCAGGAGTTTCATCATCCCATTTTTTGCCAAAACAATGATCAGATATTTTGATCATTTTACCTCTTTCATATCCAAATAGTCATTTTCAGGATGATAATCAAAAGCTGATTTGAAACCAAAAAATTCCTCGCTATACACATTCGATTCTGAGCCAAACGAATTCGTTGCTCTTCCAGTCTTTGAGACTGCTCTGCTGTAGATTCACGTTGTCTTCAATTATGAACAATTATAGCTCTAGAACTTTTTCTTCCTATTCATGCTCTCTCAGCTCTCAGCATTATTTATCAATCAATCTCAAAAATATTCCCTTGAGATAAATCCAATAACTATTTTGAATATTTCATACAATTACCTGCAGAAGTTAATGGTAACAATTCAAAAACCCACCATAAGTTCACATACTGCCATCTAGTGTGATGACGTCACCTTTTTAACTCCTTGAAGATTTTGCTAATTAAAATGTCAGTTCTTCAAATATAATAGTAAATGTCAATAATAGACTTTTCTTATAGTCAGAAAGTACTAATTCATGTGTAGCCATCTAGTGAAGGGAGAGAGAAATAGAGAGACAAAAATCCATTGCAGTTTTATTTAGTTAATAAAAAATCTGTAGGTTTGATTAGTGATAAACATTCCAGGGATCATAAAGATGCTACAGTTAAAAATTGGTAACGATTGGTTCAGTAGTTTTCACGGTTATTGGTGACAAATGAAAAATACGTTGCCTCTTTATATAGTAAGTGTATATATATATATAAACACTATATAACAGTTTTGTTTATAAACTATAAGGGGTGTTCAATAAAGAACCAGCCAAATGCAATAGCATGAAATAGAAACAATTTATTTCAACAAGAATTGCCCTGATTGTTAAGGCACTTATCCCATTGTGGCACCAGCTGAGTTACACACTGTTAGAAGACAGTAGCAGGACACTGGTGGAGCCAACGTCAAAAAGCATCTTTTTTTCTTTCTTTGCACTTCAGTGTCTGAAGAAAATCATCTGCCTTTAAGTGCCCTTTTGAGTTCCCCAAAAAACGTGACAGGTCAGGACTATAGGGAGGGTGCTTGACTAACTCCCAACGAAACTGCTGTAGCAGGTCCTTTGTCATGTTGGTTGTGTGAGGATGTGCAGTATTATGCAGCAAGATGACCCAATTCTTCAGTTTTCTTGGATGCCTGCATTGAATTTAAACTTAACAAGCAGCAACACCTGATGGTCAAAAATTAGGGTGATCATCATCTTCCCTGCTGATAGTCGCGCACTCTTGCTCCTTTTTGGTGGAGGTGAATGCGGGTGTTTCCACTGAATGTCGGCAGGCCTCAGCTTCAGATCGTAACAGAAACAGAATGTCTCATCTCCCATCACAATGTGAAGAAGAAAACCATTACCATGCAAAGTAAAATGCATCTGATGTTCCAATGACAAGCTCATCTAGTTGCTGGTCTGATCTTTAGTGGTTGAATGTGACACCCATTGTGCACACACCTTTCTGAAATGCAACATTTTGTGCACAACACTGTACCAACACTCAGATCTATTGCAGTTGCAATGTCATGGACCATCATCCGTCTGCACCATTTGCACATTCTGCGGTGAGACTGATGCTGCAGACATACTGGTCATTGGTCATCCTTAAAGCTTGAATGACTTTCCTGAAATTTTTTGGCCCACATCTTCACCTGAGTAAGGCTGGCTTAGGGCGTATGGACCATACACTTGATGCATTTGCCGATGAATTACAATGGGTCCGCAACCTTCTGCAACAAGGAACCTGATTACTCCACACTGTTCAACTTTGGAGGCTTCCATCTTCCAACAAAATCACTCAAACAAATGACTGAGTGTGTTTGCCTTATAGGGGGATGTCACTTTGGTGCACTGCACATTCACATGCAAATTTTCCACTTAGAGCTGTGCTCATGGTTATTTATTGAACACCCTTTATAAATAAATTAAAAGCCTACCTAGTCAAGAAGTGCTTATTTTAGGAAACCAAAGTAAATATTTTATTACAACTGAAATAAGTATCTCTTTTTACTAATTATCATGATGCTAAGTTCTCATTCAAGTTTAAAAATTTACCTGTTACAGTGGAATTTACTACATAATCTTTAGGTGCTTGAGAAAGACCAATATATCCAGCCTACAATAAGTAACATAAAATTTAATTATTTAATCAAAAACAAAAAATAACCAATTGTATAATTTAATCTATAATACTATGACAAATCTTACAACTGTACAATTAACAATGAAATTAATCTGTAGTTTCTTTTTAATGATACAATTTATTGAAGACTAATATAGCTATAATCATTACATATTATCTAACTATAAACAAACTAGAATGAATTTCATTTAATACTATTTTGTTAAGTAAATACATATACAAAAATTAAGTTATTTCACATATATTTTTATTGTATTATAATGGTTATCATGTAATTCAAATTTTCAACAAAACAGCACAAACATTTGAATTTTGTTAGATAATGTAGAATAATAATTTTTTAAATTTGGCATTAAAATTTTTAGGTTTCTTTTTATAGATGTGGACAAATAAAAAGTAAATTATAGACTGATATCATAACATGTAAAGATTTTATATGCACAAAAATTTGATGATAGTATAAAACTATCATTTAATATAATAAATGGATACACACAGATTGTTATGAATTAATAATATATAAAATAATAGGCCTGTTTTGCAATCATGTCCATAATATGTATATGATACAGTGTGTATTAAATTCCTTTTATATTCCAATGTAAATTGTATTTGTTTTCAAAACAGTTTAATACTTAATGATATTTAGCCATCGCTGTGTGTTAATAAAAATTATTTTAAATTAGTGACATTGATTGGATATGTGCAAGAGAGATATTTAGGAAAAAACTTATGTAATTAAAACTTTTAATTAAAAAATTTACTTTAAAAAATTAAGAAAGCAAATTTTAAAAGATAAAGTAGAATTGCACTGTAACATAACTGGACGTATTCCATCATCATCATCTGAATAGGAATCATTTTTGTCTTGAACAACTATAATTATGAAACTAATTAATAAATACATAACTATTCTCAAAATACATACAGATTTCAACAAACTTTTAAATCAAAATATGCTGTAAATACTTTAATCAATTAAATATTCAAAGTGACAGAGAAATAATGGCAGTGCTTCTGATTTGCTAAAGTGCAATGTTAGACTAGCACGATTGGTAAAATATAGATCATATGTCCTAGATAAGTGCACAATTACAATAAGAAAAACATTACACAAAAAAATTTGTAACAGTTCAAATTTGTAATATCAAATATCTGACAAAAGCAAGCAATATTAGTTCAAAATAGATAATGTAAAATTGTGAGATGCTGCTGACCTCAGTTGCTACTATGAGAAAAGAGTTGCATTAGAATTCGAGTATCACTTTTCTAAAAACAACAATGACAACTGGACCCTCATACACAATATATATATTCCCGTGTTAACATGACTAATTGTCACGTAAATGACTTAGAATCATTCAGGTCTGGTCATCCAAGTGATTGGCTACACTGGAGCCAAAGGTAGAGAATCAGGAAGTTCAGGAAGGAGAGCCTGAAGTTCCTAATGATGTGTGCAAATAGAGTTCACAAAGATCTATGAAAGTGAGTGGGAGCTCCAATGGATTATAAATAGTAGTAGTGAAGGCTCTTTTAACAGTTTGGACAAGAGGCTTGACATTTAAGTTTCTGACAAAGAATGGGAAAGAAAGTGCCTGGTGGTAATGCACAAAACCAAACAAAAGGGGATTTAGTGAGAGATAAATCAACCACAAAACAAACCACTAAACAATAATTGTAAGATAAGGTACAATTTATAATTCACTCTCTTGTTTCACAAACTGGTAATTGAGTAACCAAATGTATAAATCTTAGCTTCAATAAATGGAGCTATTTTTTCTTGTAACCTGTTAAGCATTGACACTTTCCATCTGGATCCAATCTGGCAAAAAATCTTCCAAAAACACATGTCAGAAATTAAAATGAGGAATCATAGACTGACCACTGTTCAAGCCAAGGACACTTTGTCATCACTGTGATAGACAACAGCAGCCTCAAAAAAGTACTGTTGGAAATTCATCTAATTTTTAAAAGTCAAGATTTCTTCCAATAAAAAATAATCATCATTATTCCTTTAGAAATTTATATGTAACAAAACATTATAATTCACCAACAAATTCTTCAATAAACAACCAAGATTTTAAATTATTCCTTAAAATAAAAACTGATGTGATAAATGAAACTGAATCACTAGCTGAATCATTACCCAATTGTATAAATTAGATTAGTTTTTTAAAATGACTGAAACAATAAACAAAATTTAAATTATGAATATGTAACAAATTATTTCTATAATATATAAAACTTACTTCTGGTTTATATTTAAAAGCACTATCACCAAAATTAAATTCCATTTCTGCATTCTGGAAAGAGACAGAAAAATTTACTTTTGAAGTGATAAATCCATTCATTATACTTATAAACAACAACTTACTTTTAAAACAACAGCAGCAAAAAATGCACTTCTTCGTAAATTTTGTGGAATTTTAAAAGCTTCTCCAAAATCATTACCTAAAAATAAAACGGGGAAAACACAATGATATAAAATTATTTTTTAAAAATGCAGGAAAACATGAATACAACTTAATATTAAAAAAAATTCTAAGAAAAAATCTGACGTCATTTTTTTATTTAAAGCTTTAATTACATTTAAGATTGATTATCATATTCAAATCAAGGATTATTTCAGAAATGTAATACAAACACAGAATCATTGGCCTAGTTTTGCTAAACTCCTGGACATATTATTGAACACTACTTACAAGGAGAGGATCAGACATTTGGGTCTTTGATTCAAACAGAACTTGGTGAGTGTATAACCCTTAACACAAACAGATCTGTTAAAATAATAGAGCCCACTTCTCAAGCATTTCCAAAAAACAAGACCTTGAAAAATTGAGTGTTTAGCTTAGAGGCTTTGGAAGTTTCACATTTTCTTGGAGTAGCAATAGCTGAGTGGACAAGACAGTATGTAACAATTTTTCTGGACTGACACAATTTTAATGTTCTTTTTAAATGTGTAACAAAATCATTTAATTTCTTTTTACTGTATCATTATTATTATTACTGTTATTATTCCTTAAGTTAAAGCTTATAAAACAAATTAAAGTAGAATTAAAAATACATATAATGTCACCACGAGTGAATAAGCTTTAGATGTTACTGTGCATGGACAAAAAAGACAAGTCTGTATTGAAAATATGTAGCATAGCCATGTAAGGAACCAAGTCCGAGCATTATTTTTATTTACTTTTATTTTTGCATTTTATTATATTTTTGTTTGGGGCTTGTTTTGTTAGAACGAAGGTTTCCTCACCATTCACCTTAGAAACTTAAAAATAGAAGAGAAACCAACTCACCAACGAGAGAAAAGCGCCGTAGAAAAAAAACTCGCGCACACTTGCGCTTCCGAGCGGAAAAAAGTAAGTCCACATCAGGAAAAGGGGGGAGACCCCACAAGCACAACTTAGGGACTCGCTAAACCTTAAAGAATAAAAACATCCCGAAAATTGTCAAAAAGAATAATGTAAAAGGTTAGCGAGTATTGTCGGAAAATAGGCTGCCAGACAAATAGAAAAAGTTTATTGTTAGCAAATAAGTATGTAAATGAGGGGAGTGATCGCATTCAGAATTGTGACGTCACCTCACAGTATAAAGACCGAACCTCAAGTGAAGACGGACGAGGTGAGCTTCTGATAGCAACGAGCTTGGTGAGCTTCGTAGCAGTGAACGAGAGAGGTGTCCGATAGGATCAAATAGTTCCAAGGCGATTTTGAAGTTATTCGATTTGTGGATCGACGAATAGAGAAAGTCTTGAGAGTTGAGGAAATAGGTTCCTAGTATATTGAGGTGACGATTAGGATCTTTAATTCATAAGAATTATTGTATATAAGTTAAGTCTTTGAATTTTGTCGAATTCCAAAGGGGAATAGATTTAAGTTAGAAACTAGATTGATTTGAGTTTTGTCGGGTTGATTCTTATTGATTTTCATTGAATAAATTGTTGTTTGATTTTACTAAATTTTGTAAATAGTTTATTACTAGAAATTTATTAAATATTTGATTTGTTATTGACAAACTTGGTCATTATTTAATTTGGTGCACGCTTAAAGTCCAGGCCTGGCACACTAACGCGAATCCGCATAAAGTACCATTAGGGAATGGCTATTTCTGGCACACAGTCATGTTGATAATCGTTGGAAAAGTCAGAAAAATAATATAGTACTTTACAGCCATAGCATCTCTGCAGATTTAACCTTTTCATGTCATCAAATAAAATTTTTATTTCTTTATATTTATTTTCAGGCATGGTGTATTATTATATTTGAAGTTTAATAAACGTGAATGCATTAGGAAATGGTCCACAACAAAAAAAAAATATGCAGCTATGCTACCCTATTTTCATAAGAGACTTGTCTTTTTCATCCAAGCACAGTAATGTCTGAAGCTTATTCGCTCACAGTGACACAGATATACTTTTCATTTTAACTTTCTGCATCTGCTTTAATTTTGTAAGCTTTAAACATGAGATATAGTAATAACAGTAATAATAATACTAATGTACAACAACAGTAATAATAATACTAATGATAATAGTAAAATCATAAAATGACTTTGTTACACATTTAAAAAAACTAAAATTACATTGCTCCACTACCTACTGTCTCACCTACTTAGCTATTGCCATTCCAAGAAAACATGAAACTTCCAAGGTCTTGTAAGTTACATATTCAATTTTCAGAAACACTTTTCTGAAAAACAAGTGGAAAACAAGTGAAAAACAATAGGATTCAGAGCAGTGAATCCTATTATCTGCCAAGGAGCTGTTTGTGTTCACCAAGTTTCATTCAAATCAAAGACCAAACATCTGATCTTCTTGTTAGATGTGAGATGACTGAAGCAAGAATAACTCAAATGCAGCTAATAAGCATATTAATCACAATGTTTGAGAACTTTTTGAAACTTCTAATCTTTCCACAGGTTACTTGTAAAAAGCATGACCAAAAGTTCTTTGACCATTAGGAAAAGTTAGTTTGCTGACATGCACTATGAAGTTATGTCTAATTTATCACATCTGTACTGTAGCTTGGATTCTGTGCATCAGAATCCAAGCTACAGTACTTTATTCTGAGAAAATCTACCCACATGTGAAAACCTTGTATGGAAAGTACCATAGTCTGAGAAAGGTAGAGGAAATAAACATTTCTACAAAGACAATATCAATATTATTCATAATTGTAATAGCAGAACAGGAAAGAAACTCAGACGACTATCGGTCATAAAAAACCTGGACAGATGTTTAGTTGCAAAACCAAAAGCAGTGAATGATCAGACAGAATCAGCTTATTATGAGTCATTGTGTCCAGGAATCCTTGGGATCTAGATGTATCCTACTGTACTATTCACTGAATCTGTAATAAGATGGTTTTGGCTATTGAAAAATATTGAAAAAACTGCCACAGACTCCAAGACACAAGCAGGAGCACCTGGAGTTTGCCTAACACCTCTCTCCAAGGATACTGATTTTAATATTGTAGTTTTTTCAAATGCAATTATTCAATAGATGGCCCAGCAACTTGTACTTCTATGTGGTCAGGTATGATTGTACTGCATGCAATCATCAACAATTGAAGCATCAGCATGGAAGAAGTGTAATGGTTTTAGGAGTGATCCCCTCAATGGAAATCTCAAAGTTAAGATTGCCAATTAGAAGTATAACAGTGTTTATTTGAAGTATCTTCATCACCTCTTTCTCCTATGGATCAAGTCTGTTGGCCACAAAAACTGAATATAGCAATAAGGTAACATGTCTACACAAAGCCAGATGAATCATCCAGTACTTCCAGGCCAACAACAAAAATGATCTGCAAGAAGTCCAAGTCATAGAAAAATAACTGGAATATTTTAGTAATGCAGATATACCAAGATCAACAGTATAAAAACTGTATAGAACTTACTGATCCAGTAATTGGGCTACTATCAATTTCAACAAAGCTTTGATTAAAGATCTAAATGAACTAAAACAACTTCTTGGGGTTGTGGAAAAGCAAGAGATCAGATACAGTGAAAAACCAGACTTTCATTCCTATCTTTGACACGATTTATGCTTGATACTTTGGTGGTAACAAACACTATGTCTATAAAAAAATTGTAAGTTTAAACTATTGTGAGAATGCGAGAGTAGAGAGCCATTTATTCGAAAATTTATTCACCTTATTTATCACATTCTTAGATTTTCCAACTTGATAAATAATCTCTATGTAATATTTCAGCTATCAAATAGACCAAAAAATCGTTGTTTTGTGTGGGAAAGTGAAGTAGAACTTCCCTTAGAAAGTTCTTATCTAATTTATCTGACAAACATTTGTCTCTTGCATCAGATGTGTGTCTGGTCAGACGATCAGAATCCTACAATCTGATTGGTGGGAACTGAGAATAAATAGGGAAAAAAATTCACAAGTTTGGGGTAGTCCATGAAAGTTAGGAAGCTGCCATAATAGACAACAGTTTACGGAAGAATAGATTTGCGACATAATTGACAGGCAGTCATTAGAAACCCGACATTGCCATAATTGACACACAGTCCTTCATAATATGAAGGTGCCAGAAACAACAGACAGTTTATGAGAATCAGATCCTGCCATACTAACAAGAAAAGAAGATAGTCCCACTCTAACACTCCAGCATTCTAATCACATTCTCCAAGCTTTGATCAATCGAGGTATTATCATTATTTTTACCAATTGTAAACATTCTCTCTTGCATTTAGACGTATAATTTAGATAGGCTCAATTTATGTATCTCTGTTTTATTTTACTCATTAAATCCTTTTTATTATTGTTATGTAAAAGTTCAGATATTTGATTTTTTAATAGTAATAAACAGTTTTAGTTTTGCATCCTTCCTCCTCTTGCAAGTGTTTGAGAAGAATAACGTTTCCTAGAGTAAGAACTCTCTTGTTTATATTAGCATCTGAAACTGAAAAATGAAGAATTTGTTGCTGCACAAGTTCAGTCTGGAATCTCACATAAGAATTCATTATAATGAGTTTAAATTATTCAAATACACTAAAATGCATTTTTTTCCTTGTACAGTTGACCCCCCTATAACAAGGTAGATATGTTCCGTTCTTTATGAAATTGATGTTCTAAGAGTCCTTAAATACATGAGCTAATCACAGCCCGTCATGTATGCAGTTTACAGACTACAGTTGTTTGAAAGGTTTTCTTCCATAAAATTAATTGATTCTAGACTAATTCGACTGAACATTTCCAAAATATGTATAATTTTTTGGGAATAATCCATATAAACTCTGCTATAAACAAAAAATTGTAGGATTACTTACCAAGTGTACACCGTTCGACGACGCCATTGCTTAAGCTTGTTTTCGTCGTGGAGCAGTGCATCGAATGGCGTTCGCGTGCTTCCTGATAAATTATTTTTCTGCGAAAACTTTGCTGAACTTTGGAGACATCATTAATATAGATATAATTTTTATGGACGTTAAATAATAAATAGTTTTTAGTAGGTCCGCTGCTCGTTTAAACTCAACAGTTTGTGCAATGTCCACTATTGGTCTAGATTCGACCAATCCTGTTGCGACACGAGTTGGCGATGATGTTTTACTGAATTATACGTGTCTCTTTTAGCGTGTTTATCCGAATACGGTTGCAATTTTTTCTCCGTCATATAGGAATCTGAACTATATGAACCCGTTTTATAGGGGGGTGGGTCTACTGTATTTTTGATTATTTCTGATATTAAANTTTTTTTTTTTTTTGTACTTGCACATGCATGCATGACCATATTTAAGCACTTATAGTACATGTATTTTTTTGTAATTACCCTGTACTTTATACTATACTATGAAATCAGAAGAATCAGAATATAATGCAATTTCTTCATTTTTTTAATTATATTTCAGTTAATAACTTAAAATTTATATTTAGCCATTGAATGGTCCCAGTTTTTTGTATTTCTGATTGCTGTTACAATTTTCAATACTAAAAGGAATAGTGATATGAATGATCAGATAACAAATAAAATTGTCTTTCATTAAAAGAAAAATAATTAAAGTACAGTAAGACCCCACTTAACATGGGGGATGCATTCCTAGACAACAAAGCACTAATCGAAACAGTGTTAAACGAGATCATTTTAACATAGAATAAACAGGGATAGGGAAACATATGACCAAAAATAAACAAATTTTACTTTAATTTTAAGTTATTTTTATATTAATTTGTATAATAATATATATTAAATAACACACAAACATATGCACACAGAAATGTATAATATATTAATTAGTTCATTTTTTCTATATTAATAGTTCACTTTTTGTGACAAAGGTCCTGACTTTTCTGAAATTCTTATTTTTTTGCAATAAAGTCGTGAAGTTTCATTTGTCGCTTTTTTCTCTCCTTAAGCAAATGTTAATAGCAGGAGATCGCATCCAAAATGTATTGTTTTGCTTTTGCACTCCTTTCAAATTCTGGATAATTTGCTACAATTTAATCAATGATTTCGGTTATCATTACCAAACTTTTACTAAGGAAATCTGTAAAGAAATTTTTTGGGTTCTTTGTTTTCAGAATCACTATTTTCCAGTTCTACATGGATTTCTTGTTCTGCCAGTTCTTGACGGTCGTCATTGATAAGACTCTCATCAGAAACCTGCGGTAACTCCTCAATATTCTGTTTGTCTACATCTCCTAGTCCTGTTGTATCGATTAGGTTGAGTTTGATCAACCTAACAATACAGCGATAGGCTCTTCTTGTTGGGAATTCTTGGATACCTTCAGCCATAACTTCTTCCACATTTCATTTGTGCATTTATCAGATAATTCTTGCCAAATGAAGCTGATATTACCTATGGCAGCCATGATGTTATGTTTTTTCAAAAATTGCACCAAACAAACATAGATTTAAAGAAAGTACACCTTTTCACCAACTTTTTCTGATTGGTTTGTATTCATAAATAATCATATTATGTATGAATCAATAAAATGCCAGGTAAAATCAGCATAAATTTTGAGTTTTTTTTAAGGCTTGAGCAGACAGAGTTATATTGAATCAGTGTTAAGCAGTCTTACTGTATATAAATTTTATATATAAATTTACAGATGCTAAAAAATGCCTGTAGAGATATGGTTGTGGGCAAAAGCACAATTCACCAATTAAGGAATACTAGCAGCAACAACAGTATGAATGACACCACAGTTATCACTAAATTAGTTTACTTTAATAAGCAAAACAATTTGTGTGATTTGCCATTTTATAATCATTATCTATGATTTATCATGATTACAAAAATTATTTCAAAAACTAGTTTTGTTCACACACATCTCTACAGACTGATATACCAGGAAACAAGGACTATCATAGACGAGAGTGTGTGTTTTATTTTCTTGTTTAATATTTTAAAATGCTGAAAAATCATTTTACTCATAAATATTTGAATATCAAAATGATATTTTTATTAAATGTACCATAAACAGTTTCATAAATTAAAGAGTAAAAAACAACAATAAAACAAAAAAAAACCTTACCTCACCATAATCATCAAATTGTTTACCAAAAGATTTTTTCCCTGTTCCTCCAAATCCAAATCCTTGTTTATCAGTACCTAAATAAAAAAATATGTATATAAATAGAACTAATATAACAACAACACTAGTAATATGTAAATTATAAAACTAAATTATCTTTATGAACTAAAAACTATTTCAACTATAACTTTTAATTTAATTAAACAACTTCTTTCATCTTATTGCTATTAAGTTTTTTGCTTACTTCTAGATTTTTATGCTTAACAACTTATTTATCAAATATCCTGTTTAATAATCAAATTTAAATAAACTTCTGGATACTGAATGTAAATTGGTTACATGCATCACATGTTCAAAAGCCAGATTTAAATTCTTGCATATAAGCATCTTGCACTCATATAATTTATCAGTGCAACATCAAACAATTTATGTTCTAGCCTAAATTAGCATTATTTAGTAAGTTAGCAGTATTTTAAAAAGTACAGTAATACCCTGAAATTACGTGATAGGTGGGACCGAGCGATAACTGTGTAAGTCAAATTCGCGTAAGTCGGGGTGTAATTTCGCAATTTGTGTAAAATCCAAGTCGGATGTATGTAAGCTAATAAATGTTCTCGTTAATCTTATCTCGTCTTTTAATTCATTCACGGTTACAAGAAATCACCACATAGAGTCTCTTAAGTCTCCATAGATATAACAAACACAGAAATAAATAACACAAAATAAATTGTAGCTATGTGTCGATTCCGCGCGACACGTCCGAACATGTAAGCCGAACAATAGTGTGGGGGGGGAATGAGTAATCAAGAGTTGCGTGGCACTCAAACAAAAGACGAATCGACGAGATTTGAAAATCGCGTAACTCCGAGTTCGCGTAAGTTGGGGTAGCATAAGTCGAGGTATTACTATATAATATAAAAAAATAAATTAATGCAGTCATATAATGTAGTTCCAGATTAGAATTGGTTAGATGCAAACCTAAGCATGCACATTAAATCTCAACTTGTTTGCAATACTTTTAAAAGCCTGGCTATGACATCAAACTAACATCAGTATGTTGTATGTAACTGTTGGAAACACTATACATAATAAAATCCTGCTTTAGATAATTTCTAAAGCAGCATTCAATCCTGTTTTTGCTTGTAATTCAGTTATTTTTCAATCAAACATGCATAATGATAATTTAATAATAAAAAATCAATTTAGGTTTTGCAATTTTTCATGGGGAAAAAAATCTTTTGAATTTAATAATGACTGTTTCATTTTCTTAATTCAAATTTTACCTAAAACTAGCCAACCCACTATGTTAATTTAGAATAATGAAGTTTTATTGAATAGTCAAAATTCTAACTGCTATAGAAAACTTTTTTTATCATCAGATATATATATATAGTACAGTGGAACCTCACTTAACGAGCATAACTCGTTCCAGAATGGAATTACTCATAATGCAAAACACTCATTAACATGTTTAACGCCATATGACGCGCGAGCCGTCGTAATGTAAATTCCCGTACAGCGCCATACGACCGCTGGTAGACGTAAACAATGTAGTTTTACTCAAGGTTAAATTTTCCTGGCCTCGTACGACGTTTTCTGCATGCTTAGTGCTGGCCTCTCGTGGATATCTATTCAGTTGGCTTCGAACGCCAGTGGTCGTATGGCAAACCGGTTCCAGCTACGACCGACAGTGCATCGTGTAGCGTCGTGACACGGTACAAGGTCGGCGGTCGTAGTTTTTTTAAAAATAAAACTCTATTTTATATCTGATAGTGGTTTATTTTAATAGTAAATAATTTAAAATATCAAAAATTAGTTTAATTATCCTCTTTTATCGCATATAAAGTAAATAATATTATTAAAAAAAAATNTTTTTTTTTTAAATAAAACTCTATTTTATATCTGATAGTGGTTTATTTTAATAGTAAATAATTTAAAATATCGAAAATTAGTTTAATTATCCTCTTTTATCGCATATAAAGTAAATAATATTATTAAAAAAAAATTAAACTATATAAGTGCGTTTTAATATATATTTACAAAAAAAAACATCATTTGCAGTCGAAACAAAGTGTGAAATACTTTAACACACAGATGTAAATACTTTTAAGTAGGGAAGGACTCTAATTACAGTGGGGTTGTAAAATTTATTGCCTGGGAGAAAGCAGTGTCACGTTCAAGGTCACACGACTCCCCAGTCTTTGATTATATATACTTTTCTTATCGTCGCTCTCCTGACTGTTGTACATCGACCCTTTTATTTACATTATAATCAATTATTAGATATCAAATTTTCATTTTTTGGCCCCCCTGACGGAAAGTATCACATTACAACAAGCAGTTAACGTGTTAAGCAAAACAGTTTCTTCCATATAAATTAATGTAAAATATGATAATGCATTCCATGCTAAAAAAAAAAATACTCAAATGTATAATGTTTATTCAAAGAAAATTATACAATATACATTGTTAAGGAATGTGAATCATCATCATCTTTTCTTCTAGTGCAAAATGAACCAACATGGAATGCAAAATTTGATTTGCAGAAAAAAAAATCAAAATACAGCAATACCTTGGTTTTTGTCTAAAATCTGTCTGAAAAAAATCGGTGAAATCCAAAAGTGATAAAAACTGAGGCAATTATTTCCATATGAATCAATGTAAATCCAATTAATTTGTTCTAGACACTCCAAAATACATACCAAAAACACATTTTATTGAGAATTAAATATAATGTTTAATACTAAAAACAAGAAATAAGAAATTAATATAAAATGAATATAAAAGTGGCCAATTTCAGCAATCTTAATGTCGCTCTTGTATTTTTCAATGATTTCCTTCTTCAACTTAATCATGTTTCTGGTCTTCTTCTTTGAAGGGCTGCTGGCTCTGGAAACTTTCTTTGATCCTGTGATGGAGCAAAAAAGGAAAGGAAAGCAATGGAATTTTTGCTAGAGGCACGGAGTAATAATGCTTACACAAAGAACAACAATGCCACACTGAGCAGGAAAATGCTCAGTGTGGCATTTTCCTGCTCATGGGTCGCCTTTTGTTTTCACAAAATTAGCAGCAAGGTCATATGGGCATGCTGACAAAATCAGAGGCAATCAAGAAAAACAGAGAGAAATTTTTCACAGAAAAAAAATCAATGAAAACTGAAACCAATGATAACCAAAGTCAACAAAAACCAAGATATTACTGTACAGTAATTTTTAATATAGCCTTTACATAGCCAAAAAATATGGCATGTCGTTTGGAGTGTTTATTATATAATGAGCTATGGTTGTTGATGTTTATATGTAATATATCTGAACAGAAGTTTGGAAAAATGTGTGATCACAAGCGGCACTAAGATGCTAGCAGAATGAGTGCTAAACTCAAACTAATGTATCAATAGCATGTGCACAATCTGGGACTTCCCCTCTCCTCATCACTTGTTGTGCAAAATGTTGCTCATTAAGCGAGTCTTTTTTTACAATCTGTTTTGCTGATTATACAAAATTATTCGTTATGAGAGGTGCTCATTAAGCAAGGTTCCACTGCATATAATATAAACTATTTTACAACAAAGGCAATGTTAAACTAAAAATAATTTACAATGTATTTGTTGTAAGAGGGATTTCCTTTATGGTTTATAACAAAATTCAAATCACAAACTCTCAAATTGTAATAATTAATAAATTAGCATAAAATATAACCCAAAATTATTTGGTCTTTAGATTTACATTTAAAAAAGAATGAATACTACTGGTAATAAATGAGTCAATTTTTCATTAAAAGTCTTGAAACAAAATCCATGCTATAAAATTCAAGGAATCAAAATGCAATATATTTTAAAATTAGACATAGTTTGAGATATTTCACATCTTATTGTCAAATCAAACACTGAAAGATAAATGAATTCCAACAAAAAAACTAAAACACAAAAAATTAATAAAATAATTTATCATAATTCTAACTGTTTTTAAAACATTGACAATTGACAAAAATTCTAAAACAAAAAATAAAAGTTTAAAAATTGTGCTATTTACACTTTATTCAAATTAGTTATTATGTTCTATGTTCAGATTTATTATCTTTAAATGTTTAATCTGATGAAATGTAAAATATCTTGAAAAAATTTAAACAAAATAAACTGCATTTTAACTTCTTGAATTATGTAACATTTTGATTTCAAAATTTCAAAAAAATAAATACTAATTACTGAATTAGTTATCCTGTACATTTTGGAAGTAAATTATCTATGATACATGATATTCAGTGCATTTATGTACAAAAAGCTTTTCCTACCTAAATCAAGTGTTGCTGCTAGAGTAGACCATCCTACTCGACATAATCCCTCATCAGTAACTTTAGCTTCATAATAATATTTTCCTGTAAAAATTACATACTTTGATGAAGATGTTAATAAATTAATATATATATAAATTTAAGAAGTATTCCTAAAATTATTTATTTATATAAATTCCCAATAACTTTCACTAAAATTTTATATTTAAACAACAAATTATTTTATTCCTAAGTTTTCTAATACACATATTAACTTATTAAAAGAAATTAATAGGAAAATTATTGTATAATATAACCAGAATTTTGGTAATGTTCATTGTACATCATGGTGTGATACTCCATCACACTACCAAAATAAACTGCAGATGATAAATGCTGCATGTTAACTACAGTTTCTTGAAGAATCAACTTCATCCAGCACTTAAGAGAAACCAGTCATACCTATCAGAAATGAGCCCCATTATCCTTCACAATACTGTAAGGTGTCACTATACTGTCTCTGTTAAGAATCATCTTACCAAAAGTGACACCTTTCTTTGCCCTTCAATATGAGCCTGTATGATTACAACTTCTTTGCAAAGACACAAGAGCCAATGCAAGGAAAATATTATCATACCAAAGATGACATTATCCATACTGTAGGGCACTAGAAACAGCTGTATTGAAAGTATACAGTGTCTTCTACAAGCATGGTACAGTACAAAGTGGTAAACATTCAAGGAAAATACATTGAAGGCATATAAGTGGTTTTGGGTCATTAACCCCTTCTGAGCTGCGCTCGAGTGTGACTCGAGCAAGTTTTATAGCGTTACGTCGTTAAGGCCACTTTTGAAAAAATTAGTTTTTTTGAATTTTTGGAATGTTTTTTAGGTCCCCAAATTTTTTCAGAATTTTTTGCGCACGCGAAAAAATTTTATCGCGATTTTAATGGGCCTTTGATAAGGCTCGATTAAGGCTTAATGTTTTTTTAATGGGAGTTTTTTATCAAAATTAATTTATCATTCTAAAGTTGTAGCGCACCGATTTTCCTTCGGTAAAGTTATTTAAAGCTGCTTTCTGATGTCAAAAACGACNAATGCAAAGTTTTAATTCATAATTTAATAATAATAATAATAAATTCATCACATTTACACAATTTTTTTACATTTGAACTTAAATTTTGTTTCCAAACTTACTAATTGTCACAATGTTTCACTTATTCAAAAACAATATGTTTCTTTTATTATAGTGAATTTTTTATTTTTAATAGAGATAAGAAATTTAAATTCTAAAAGGAGATCAAAATCAGTATTACAAAAATATTTATGCAATATTATATTTCTTAAAAACCAATAGATGCATTTACATAATTCTAAAAAGAAGATGCATGTCATTATTTTAAATTATTCAAATATAAAAACAGAGAAAAACAAATGAGACAAAATTATTGTTATAAAATATATTATGCTTAAGATTTGAGTAATTAATCTAATATCTATTTGTGATCTGAAAAACTTACCTAAAGCATTTCCACGATCAAAAAAACTCATTGTCCATTTATTACCTATCAAAAATATATATTACTGCATCAGTTTTAACTTAGTCAACATAAAAATCTTAAATTTTTACAACACACCACACCAGAAAATACTTAATGTCACACACAAAACCAGTAACTGGTGTAAAGAAAACAAAATACTAACAATTATCTCAAGACAGATGTTTTCCAACTCCTTCAGAGTTCTTCAGATGCTATAACAATTACCAGATGGAATATCATTTCAGAACATAAAAGTTTTTTTTTGAAAAAAATATAAATTTGAACCTATGGTTCGAATTTATATAGTTGCTAGTTTTATTGTTTTCTTCACACTGGTTATTGGTTCTGTGTGCATCCTTAAATTTTTATAAATAGTAAATATTATATTCAATAATGTGTAATTAATTATATTTTGATTTTGATATTCTAATGCAGTGTTTTTCAACCTTCTTGAATACGCAACTCCTTTACAAATTAAAAAATTCTGGAGACCCCCAGGGCCATATTAAAACTATATCAGTAATTTTAAAAACTACATATTTAATTTTCTTTCCTTAAGTATCGATCAAAAAACCAATTGTACCATAAAATAAACAGGCACAGCCTTCTCACTGAAATTCTAGTTTTTTTTTATTGTGGTGTAGGACCTATAAACACTTGTCTTTTTCTTTCACCCGCGACCCCCCGTGTAAGGCTTTGCAACCCCCCTGGGGGTCGCGACCCACAGGTTGAAAAACACTGTTCTAATGAATTATATTTTAACTGAATGCATGAAATTGCAATAGTGTTTACTATAACAATACAATACATAAACAAAATTACAAGGAAAGGCAACCAAATGACTAACTTTTAAACAGAGATGTAATCAATACCAATATATTGGCATATTAGATGTTTCCAATATATGCCAGAATTGGTCTGTTTTGTAAACTGATATGCCAATCCTTTTTTTCTCCAATATGCATCCTTCTCATCACTGCCATGAAAGTCAGACATATCGTGCTGTACAACTAACCCATAGTAGACAGAATGTCCTCTCCACACATGATTTGCCTCTAATGGCCAAGTGACATATGGTTGTTATCTCTTTTGGATGCAGCATAGTGATGGACAGGCAATGTGCAAGCAGTGTTGCCAGATCTAGTAATTTATTGAAAGATTTGATGATATTTCAAGCCATTTGGCAATTTACAACAATTTTTTCAATGTGGCAATTTTTCTACACTGTCATAAACTTATTCATATTGTGTTTCATAGGTTGTTTGTTTTTTGCCAAAATGCATAAACCAGGTACCTTGTTAAGATCACTAATTGTGAAAGCCAGATCCCCCACCAGACATTTAGAAAATGAGGTACACCATCTACTAACATCACATTTAAAAAATTATAAATATGCAATTTAAAATAAAATGCACAAGATCTTCTAGTAGAATTACAAAACATTGGATTAACTAATAACAAACACATCACAGTTTTAGATTTCATATCCTTATATCCATCTATTAAATTAGAGCATTGCTTCTGTGCCTTACAGGACTGGCTAATCCAGGTAGTTAAAAGCCCTGTACACCATCATCAAATTTTAGAATTAGCACACATGCTATGCTACACTTCGTGTTTTCAGTACAATAACAAAAATTACTTACAGAAACAAGGAGTATCTATGGGTAGCCCCTATCAGGTGACCTGTGCGAATTAGTGATATGTAACTTAGAACACAATATTCTACCATCATTCCTCCCTGAGATAATCACATATAAGATATATATTGATATCCTGACATTTGGAGAGCTGAACTGGATATCAACAACATCATACAATGCATGAATAATAACCTTTATGGTCTTATACTTAACCTAGAACAATTCAACGATAAACATGCCCACTTCCCAGACCTGAACAACTACCTTAAAAATGGCCAAATCAAAACAGATATTTACTATAAACCAGAGTACCAGCCATTATTTATACAAGTGGCCTCAAATGACCTTATACATACACAATAGCAGCATTTAGAGCCCTTACAAAAAGAGCCTTCACACGAATTAAAACATAGAAAAAATAACAATGGCGCACAGTTACCCTAGAAAAGTGATGCAAGGTTTAGCAGAGAACTATATTAAAAGAATGAATGATCCCACCACTTCCAATCTAAACAAGGGCAATAGTAAGAGTTTGGACCATACAAGCAAACATATACTAATTGATTATGACCAAGAATTAAAGGCTTTATACAAAGAAACTGCTATTAATAGAGAGTGTTTGGTAACATACAGGCATTAACCCGTCAGTTTAAAAGTTATTAAGAAATGATAAAGATGCCATTAACACCTATAACACACCAGGGGTTTATAGTATACCTGTGAGAGACAACAGATTCATAGAGATCTGGTGTACTGTACATTGGTTCAACCAAGAGATCCCTTAAAAAATGGCCAGCAGAGCATAAATATGATATAAAAAACAAAAAGCAGACCACTGCCCTAGCAATATATGCTTCTGATACTGACATAGAAGCTAAACTACAGCAAGCCAGTCTCATTAGATGCACCCTTTACACCAATCAAATCAAAATTTTAGAAGCTTTTAAAACTTTTAAAGCCGAAATAAAGAAAGAATGTATCAATTTTAAGGAAAAGGCAAACATCTTGCATACTTGGCAGTCCTTTTTTGACAATTCCAACAACATTAATAAAAAATAAGAAATCAATTAATTCACTTAAAATTTATTAAAAAATGCATTTGTTAGTTTTTATTTTAATTAAACCTAGGTGTAATTTTTGTTGTATACTTGTTCTAATATTTACAGTTCTGACAACTTTAAAATACACTGCTGGTCATTAAAATTGCAACACCAAGAAGGAAAGCAAATAAAAAAAAAGATATTTATTATACATAAACAGTATGGCATAAAGACAAAACGATTAAATTTGTAAGAAGTTTGGGGTTTACAGGGGCACGAAATTAGTAGACACAGTTGCCACCCCCAGTGGCTAAAACAGCCCTTATCCATTTAAGCATGGAGTCGAACTGGGCTTGGATGACAGAAACGGGCAACTCATTCCATGATGCTTCAAGTCTATGCCACACTTCATCAACTGTATTAGCAGGAGAGGGGTGGAGGGCCAGTCTCTCAATAACCCATGACCAGATGTTTTCAGTTGGTGAGAGATCAGGAGACCGTGCAGGCCAGGGCAACAATTGAATACCCTCTGTATCGAAGAAGGTCAGAACAGGACGTGCAACATGAGGTCTTGCATTATCTTGTTGGAAGATGACATTTTGCAGGCCTCGAAGATAGGGCACAACCACTGGATGTAAGATGTCAGAAATGTATCGATCTGCGTTCAAATTACCATCGATCCGAACTAGAGATGTGCGTGTCGTGTACCCAATGGCTGCCCATATCATCACACCAGGTGCAGGGCCCCTAAGCTAATATCAAATGCAAGCAGGTGACAAGCGATCTGCTCGGAGCCTCCAGACACGTATACAGCAATCAGAATGCTGCACACAGAACTGGGACTCACCTGAAAAGACGACATTGTGTCACTCCTGTATCCAGCTTTGTCATTGGGCACACCAGAGTCGCCGTCTCTCTGTATGCTGCATTGTCAAGGAAAGCCGAAGTAATAGTCGCCGTGCTGACAGTCCACGCTGTTGCAAACGTCATCACACTGTACGAGCAGATACTGGACGTGTTGCAAATAAGCTCATTTCCTGACTAATGGTCCATGATGTGGTTGTATGGTTTTGCACAGCCGATCTCACAATATGTCTGTCCTCTTGGGCATTAGTCATGGGAAGGCATTGAGATCCTGCATGCTGTTCAGTAAGACCCTCAGCAACCCATCAATTCCAATTCGCATGACAGTGGTTGGATTTCGACTAGTGCGAGTGGCAATATCACGGTACGATAATCCACATTCTTGATAGGCAATGATCCTGCCTCTATCAAATTCCAACACTTGCTGGTAAGCATTTCTTCTTCTTATTCGAGGCATAACACGATATTCTGATGAAACCCTGACCTTACAAAGCGATTTCCGAATGAGAATTCCACTGCACAACTTTTCTTTTATGCAGTGCTTCAGATGTCGTTTGTTCCTCCTGCATTGTCTAAATGCACTGAAATACTAATCATTTGCATATCCCAACCTCTTCTTCCTTTCATATGATTTTGACGTTCATACGATCATTCCTTCCTGGTGCTGCAATTTTAATGGCCAGCAGTGTATTTAAATTCGAATGTTTAGCATTTTAATTCTATTGAACATTTTTGGCCTGACACAGATCCTACTGGGATTGAAAACATTTGTCATAAAATATACATATTAAATTATACTTGCTGATATATTTTGATGGTTTTGTTGGTGTTATTTAATACTCTCTTGTTATCTACATGGTTAATTCAATATTTAGGATGGATGTTCTTACACAAAAATACTGAATAAAATGTCTTTTTCTAACACAAACTAATACTTCACTAAATGTTAATACTGGAGAAAAGATTTAAAAAACTAGAAATTATATATTATCACAAAAAATTATTAGTTTTAATTTATACTCAGAATTTGAGTGAACAAAAGCAAAAGGATCAATACATGTATGACAAAAAGATTAGTTACCATCAACCTTTGCGAAGATTAAATTAATCATTTTTTGAATGTTTCTCATTTTTCAATCTTTCTTTTATAAGAAATTAAGCATTAAATGAAGCATTGTAAGGAAGAATATAATATTCTTGGAATATTTGATGATTAAAAATTTCCAATATTATACTGTATATTACAATTCTTCTCATTTTCTTAAAAATAAAGAAATCAAAATATATTTGAATATATTACCAATTCCACCACCACTTATTCCATCCTTTTTTGTTTTTCCAGTTTGTTCATCTTTTAATGTTTCCCAAACAATCTGCAAAATTGGAAGACAAAAAGCTCCTGTTTTTCCACTTCCTGTTTCAGCAGCCTAAATAATAAAATAAAAATGTTTTTGAAAATATTTCAGTAAGTGTTAATGTTTATTACTTTTGGAGTATTTTGTTGTTTCCATAAAGCATGAACAAAATTTTATTTTATTTTTTTTACTCTCATTCATTTTATGAAATTTTTGTACAGAAACAATTATTATTCATAACATCTTACAATACTAAGAAAGAAAGACTGCTATCTAAACTTAAAACCATTTTCCCTATTATGTCTATATATAAAATACCATATTTCCATGATTAAACAATAGGATTTAAATAAACTTGTCTTCAAATAAATTCTGGGTTGAAAAGTATGGGAAACATGTTGAAGTACTACTGTATAGAGTAATGTTGTTTAGAGTGACAGATAAGGAATTAACTAAAATTTTACCTCCTCAAATTGTCTAGTCAGACAGCACTTTCTATTCCAAGATTCACAGAAACATTTTTTGAAATAAAATTATATTGTTGAATATTGAGCACAGGAGTCACAATCAAGTTTGTAAGTCAGCTTATCAGCCAAAAGGTAATTTCAAAAACTTGAATTGGAAATAAATGGTGAATTTGAACTGGAAGATTATAATCAAGATCTTAATTCCAACAATAATATCAAAGAAGACACAAACAACAATGTAATAAACTGAACTGGAAGATATTGATTTGTATTAACTATGTAAACAGTAGTTATTTTAAATTTTACTTCAACATATATATACTTACTCTTTAAATATTATGACACACCCACACACCTTATATTGCTGAAAACCAACATTTATCACTCTAACGAACGTTTTCAACCTGATCAACAGGCCATTGTCAGGTATTTTCAATTCTCTGGAACATTTTAGAATGGTTCTATATTCAAACAATTATGCAAAAAGAAACTCAAATTTTTAAATTTGAGTTTCTTTTTGCAAACATCTTTTTGCAAACAAAAGGTTCAAACATTTTGTCAAAATATGAATTATACAAAAATGTAACAAACAGTATAAATATGTGAAATTGAACAAATGAAAATAAATTACATTACATTACATTAAAAGAGTAGAGAGGTTGTCTGTATGTGCACAGACTTTACCTCTAAGAAATTAGAAGTGATGAAATTGAAATTAGAAGAGGAAGTGATAGTAAGCAGGGAGGGAAAGAAAATAGGAAAAGACTGAAGAGAAGTGTCGGATCATTGAGCGTCTGCATCATAATTGTTGAACAAGTAAAAATACAGTGACAAGACAAAATATATTCAGTGAAACAGTATAAAAACAAACATGACAAGTTTGAGTGTGTGGGCAAGTGTGTACAGCAAAGGGGGATACAGAAACAATGTTTTAACAATTACAAAGTACGCGATTTGTGACTGCTTCATATATACAATTTATACAAATATCGACACTCAATAAAGGAGTGGAATAGTATTATATAAAGTTAGATATAGAACAAAACATGAATATTAGTTATTGATATAGCTAAGTTGCATATTTACATGGATAGTGCTGTAAATTGGGTTGACAAAGAGATAATGCATTATAAAATTTAGCATTAAGAACATTGAAGAATCTAGTAGATACAAACCCAGTGGGTCTAATTTTCATATGCACAGTACAGGTATACCCTGACTTACGTCATTCCCAATTATACGCCGTTTGTCAAAAAAGTATATGGAAAAATAAAAATCAAGTTAAAGTAATTTTATTTGACTTTATGTTTGTCCGCCACAAATATTGAAGCCGTAATATCACTAGAAAAACGTTTAAAGCACATAAAATCATATTAAGATATATACATTTACAAGTATGTACTGTATTTACAGTACATGCATTCGTAAATTTACATTACTTTTTTCTGTACTATATTAAAAACTAAAATTTATTTGTTTGTAAGCTTAAAATAGATCCTTATTAACCATATATTATTAAAAATGCATTAATAAATAAAATACAGAATGGGAATTGGTAATTTATGGTTTAGCCTAGTGACAAGTAGATTCGGAGACAAGTAAATTCGATTTTTCAACTTACGTCGCCTCTCCTGGAACCAATTACCGATGTAAGACGAGGTATACCTGTACATTCAAATCGCAGATTGAATAAATTGGGCAAGTAGCCGCCCTCCCTTAAATGATATCAGCCAATCTATCATTGGTGCAGATGTGGGATGTGGCCATGTCACTCATCTCACTGGCTAATGCAGACATTCTCAATAACAAAAAACTATGGACAAAAAAATGAAAATAAATACAATAAAATAAAATACATACAAATATATTAACGCAATATATAGAATTATATTGACTGACCATGCATTATGTTATTAGATTTTACTGCGCTATTCTTGATTATATATTTCCAGGCTGAAAGTAACACTAGCATCTTTGTAATTTAAACATTTGCCAGTAAGGATAGATTTATAAATTTCAAACTTTTCTAAATAAGTATACAAGATACCAAATAAAAATGATCAATTAGGTCTGAACAAGGAGTATGTAGATGTCACCACCAGAAACCTCAGCAAGACTTAAGGAGAATATATACAATGTAAACAAAGAGCAGTATTCTACAGCACAATCCAGAGTAGCACAAACAGATGGTTCGGTTGTTGAGTGGAGTGAGGCCAAGACTTAAACCAGTGCACTCACCATCTCTAGCAGTGACTGTAGAAAAGTTTGAAATTTATAAATCTAGCCTTACTGGCAAGTGTTTAAATTACAAAGATGCTAGTGTTACTGTCAGCCTGGAAATATATGATCACGAATAGCACAGTAAAATCTAATACATAATGCACGGTCAGTCGATATAATTCTATATATTATGTTAATATATTTGTATTTTATTTTATTTTATTCTATTTATTTTAATTCATTCAATTTCACATATTTATACTGTTTGTTACATTTTTGTATAATTGATATTTTGATGAAATGTTCAAATCTTTTTAAATTTGAATTTCTTTTCTCATAATTGTTCGAATACAGAACCATTCTAAAACATTCCAGAGAACTGAAAATACCTGATGATGGCCTGTTAATCAGGTTGAAAACGTTTGTTACAGCAATAAATGTTGGTTCTCAGCAATATAAGATGTGTCATAATAGTTATTTTAAATGTAAATGTAACCCATAAATACAATCAATAAAAAGTTTTAATAGGTCAGAAAATATACAAGTAATTAAGGTATTTCTTTCAATTTTTATTCAATCATCTGTTGCAAGGTAATAAACCTGATCAAAGAACCTCAGAGGATGGATACATTTTAAAAATAAGTGTGTTTAATTGAGGAAATATGGTAATTAGTTTTGAAATGACAACAGTATAGAAGTCATAAAACAGGAATCATTAAAGTTTACAATAAATGTTTATTAAATAATTCAAAAATTATAGCAGCCTTTTTTTATTTGCATTTTTTCATTTAATTTTCATATAAATTAACACACTGAAAAATGTTTTGAAAATCAGAATTCTAATATATAAAAAAAAATAACCATTTATATTTATTTGATGCATATATAATAGTCAAAACTTAAAATTCCATATTGGCAATATCTTTTCAGTTTTTCTGTGAAGATTCCTTTTTAAATAATCAAAATCATATTTTTTGTTTTTTTGACAGAGTAATAACAACATCTAATCCAATTGTTAGAAACACTTTGCATTATGAAAACTCAATTTGAAAAGTTAATGATTTAATGTTATTAACTTTAATTGTTTATTTGAGTATTTGAAAGCATTTTGATGGTTGTTTAACTATATACAGGAAATCCTTGTTAATTAGAACTCTGATAGTTCAAAATCCCATTAGTTCGTAACTGTACTATGTCGTGTCTACAGATGTAGTGATTTACTCATACACATTAAGGAATTCAGTTAGTTCAAACTATAGCTACTTTGAAATTTGAAGTGAAAATTTTGTCCAAACTGTGATATGCATATGTTGTTTGTTTAGATTAAAGTGCCTCCATATTATAAGAAAACAATAGACCATGAACAACTCTAATCTGGTCAACATGGCTTTACTTTTACAGTAACACATTTTTAGGTATCACCTTAACCATTGACCACCCCTTTTTCTCTTCTCATAAAATATGGTTGGGTTTCAGGGTTGTTAAGTTTGGGATATAAGTAGCAGATTGAGATATTTGTAGGACTTTACACTACTAGATCTGAATGACTTAAAAATAATTTGGGCTACATTTCAAGGAATTCTGCTTTACATTTTATAAAATTTATCTGGCAATCTCTGAGGTTCTCACCGGACACATGCTGTTTGTTTATATCATTATTATTATTAATTAATTATTTAACCCCTTCTGCCCATAACCCAAGATAACTCGGGCTGCGCAGTCCATATCCTGAGTGATCTCGGGCATAGGCCTTAAGGACCTCAAAAAAGGGCCTTGACTTATAACTTTTTTAAAAATGTATGGATCAGCATATATATTCATACATTGTTATCTATGATCTCTGCAAATTTCATGAACTATTTTTGCCGCAAAAATATTTTATGATGATTTATTAATTAGGTAATTAATTGCACTATTGTTTTTTTTATGGGAGTTTTTTTAATCAAATTAATTAAATCATTTTAAACTTCTATTTGACCGATTTGACTTGGTAAAATTTTTTAAAACGCTATTGTTCAGCAGTTTTTTTTGTTTTTTATTCAGTAAAATTTTTCCCCATATCTTTTTTTTGGTTCCCTCGTAATTTAATAGTATAAAAATCAAAAATATTGTGTTATATTTGAACAGGTAAGTTAGCTCCCCTCCTGCTTTAAACCAATATTTCCCTGAGGCGTACATGAGAACGACCTGGGAAAACTGACAGCAGCTGTTCTCAAGGTCAACCAGTTTGTAAACAATGTAGACTGCATGTGTGAAATTTCATGCCTTGTTAAATGAAAGAACAACAATCCTTACAGCTATATTTTTCAAATAAAAGCATATATTTTAAATTATTTTTATATACTTTTTTTGTAAAAACACTTTTTGGAAGGGTTTTTATTTCAC